CGGCAATGAAATAAAAACATCGTCATCAATATCGCCATTTAAAAAGGCGCTACAAACATCAAGTTGATATATCTTGAAAGCAAAATGATTACACATAGCTAAGAAAATCCTTACTGATACCAATTTAGCTACAGGACTATAAATATCATTATTGAACATACCAAGCTCCTGCATAAAACCTCTTGCTACTAATCTAACCTTGAATGTTGAAATTTGTCCATTTTCATCCATTTTTCTTTTGAAAACCCATTTACAGTCTATCACTGGTCTATTTATGTCCTCTTTATTAACTGGAAACCATGTTTCATTTTCTTCTAAAGCTTTTATTTCATTTTCCATAGCCTTTCTCCAGTTTTTAGCTTCACTACTTGTCATTGCATCATCATAGCACACAGGATCACTATCATCAAAATCACTTCTCATCAGTAGCACTTTGTCTATATCCATTTCAAAATCATCATACATGGTGTTTCTTTTTCGGTCTCTTCTTAAATTATATCTTGAATTTACAATTTCTTCATTGACATCTGAATCAGCATCATCTTCCGGAAAGTCAACTACATCTTGATGTTCAGAATTCTCAATTTCCTCTGCTTCACTTACATTCTCGGATAAATTATCATTTCTTGGGTCATTTTATATTTCTTCGCTTTCAGAATCATCAGTTTTGTAACATATTTCTTGTGCATTCAAGTTATCATTTACTTTTTCTGTGTTTTTGATACTTTTAGGTAAAAAAATAATATCTCTGTGTATTTCAACCTTATGTTTTTCAGGCATATATATTCTATATCCTTTCACATTCTCATCATATCCTATAAACATTCCCATTTTGTTTTTAGGATCCCATTTCAGACGAATTTCCTTGGGTACGTGTACTGAAACTTTTATTCCAAAAGGTTTAAAAACTTGTACTGAATTGATATTCTTTTTGTACCACAGTTCATAGGGAGATTTTTGTTTTTGTGGACTTGGTCCAGTACGATTTAAAGTATATTTTACATTGTTTATAGCTTCAGCCCAAAAAATCTTACTTAATCTTTCTTCTGGATATAATAGAGTTCTGGCTGCTTCCACCAAAGTTCGATTTTCTCTTTCAGCTCTCCCGTTCTGCTGAGGTGTGTAAACTACAGTCCTTTGATGTTTTATTCCAGGAGTTTCCAAAATTTCTCGTACTTCATTATTCTAGTCCATTATCTGTCCTTAGGACGTTTAATTTGCAACCAGTCTCTTTTTCAGCAAGTGATATGAAATTTCCAATGTTCTTTTTCACTTCAGATTTTGCCTTCATAAAGTAAACGTATCTGTAATTTGAATAATCATCTTTAAATAGCAAAAAATACTTAGAACCTCCTAAAGATATGGTTTCCATTGGTCCACAAACGTCTGCATGTACCAATTCCAAGGGTGCAGTAGCTCTAGACTCACTAAGTTTATAAGGTGACCTATGCTGCTTTCCTGCTAAGCATTGTTCGCAAACAAAATCTTTTTCACAATCAACAAACTGAATGCTGTTTCTCTTGAGGAAATCCACCACATAGCTGAGATTTTGATGAGCTAACTTACAGTGCCAATCTTTAATATTTTCTATAATTTTTACCTGCATGCATTCTACAATTGGATTGTCAAGGAGTTCATTATCCTCTGGGCAGCTCTTTTCTTCCTTCTTTTCACTTATCTTCAATTCCTGAATAGAAATATTCGCGATGTAATTTTTATCCTCTATTAAGGTGAAATGCATTTTATAGAGATTGTTTTCACGAGTAGGAACTGCGCAAACTTTTCCAGTTTTATTGATAAACTCGCATTTTTTATTGCTCGAGATCAAATAATACCCCTTATCCAAGGCACACCCAGCTGAAAATAAATTGAACTTTAGATCTGGTACATACATTACATTTGCTAACGTAGTTCTTATTAATTTCTGTCCATTTGAAGCCCATAAAGTGATTTTTCCTATTCCTTTAACTTCTATTTTATTTCCATCTCCTACTTGTACTTGTTTCTTATATTTCAGATCGTTTATTGAATCAAAAAATCTTCTATCGCAACACATGTGTTCGCTAGCGCCGGTGTCAAGATACCAATCATTTGCTTTGGCTTCATTTGTAAATACCATAAAGGCATTTGTATCTTCATCTTTCACCTGTTCTTTTTTCTGATGTTTTATTTTATTGTTTCCTTTTCTGAACCAACAATTTTGTATTTCGTGGCCCTTTTTCTTGCAATGTGTGCAAAATTTTTCCTTTTTATGAAATTGATGACTGTTACCCTCTGCCTCAGAGTAATAATTTTTATTTTTGTTTCGGAAATAGCAATATTTTGCGAGATGGCCCATTTTAGAACAAACGTGGCAACGTATCTTAGAATTATTAGGACCTTTGGTAGCTAATGCAGTTGGATTTTCTGAGGACTTGCTACGTTCTTCTTCCAGGAGTAGTCTTGAGATCAATTCCTCCAACGTTTGGCTATCCGTTGAAACAGATTCCCAGGCAGACCTGAAATGCTTATACTGCTCTGGTAGAGACATTAAAATTTTTGGATAACTGATAGTGTGTCTGTTAAAAAAAACAGTTAAAGAGTTCATAATTTTTGAATTTAGAATAGTTTTCTATTGAATTTGAAAAGAATTGTTTTTGCTCAAAAACAAGAGGGTATTTTAAGATTTTTTTGAAATGCAAATTTTTGTTTCAAATTTTCTAAAAATTTTGAATAGGAAGAGGTATGTAGTTATTAAATCCTAGAATTAAAGTGTGTCCAATGGCTTACCGAAAAATCTTAATCGTTCGCTAAAAATTTGAAAATTGGGTGTTTCAAATTTTTAACTTCAAGGACAACTGAATGATGCCTTGTACAACGATTTTGTTATCACCCGGTATATGCATTACCCACCAAAATCCTGTGACAGCCGAAAGTTACTTGCACAAAAAGTTGTTCGACATTTTCAGTACATGGTGTCAGTAAACGACAGGAGACGCAGTTCTTAATTGCTACCAAAACTCCACCCTGAGTTTTACTTAAACTAGTCTTTTCAGATTTATCACATCGGAAAACTATATATCCATCCAACCCTAGTTGTATTTGGTGTATCCAAGATCCTAATCGAATGAAAAGTTATACTTTTATCACGTTCAACCATCTCGAATTTTATCACATTTTAAATTTTTTTAGATTTCATGACATCCCTGTGATATAGGCTTTATTTTGATACCACATTTTTTTAAATCGGACAAAAATTAAAAAAGTTACAGCTAAATAAAATCCAGCGCAACCTTTTTGGTAACACTATTTCTAAAAATAGGGCAGGATTTCTAAAAAAATACGCAAGCTCAGCTACCCTGTATAGTATATTAGGCTTATCTGACTATTTATTTGCGAAATCGAAAACAAAAATCTCGATGTTTAGCTTGCAGGGTGCGCTAATACCGATAATAGAAAGGCTTGGTTTATGATTTTCGAACCTACTTTACTGGGTCATCCTGTATAGTTAGAGGTTTTGCGCAATGATGAAAAATACTTATTTTTACTAGTACTACAACATACCAAATTTTTAAAAAAATCGACCGTTCCCCAAAAACCCATAAGTTTGACAGTATCTTGGATAGTCTAATTGTCAATATTTCGATTTTGATAAACATTTTTTTAAGTTATATGCTCTCTCCATCCTTTGAGAACTTGGGCCATTGGCTACAATAGCAGCTGGTGCGAAAGCAGAAGAAAATACTTGATGAGTATGAGACCTCTCAGCTGTAAAAGGCTGCAGGAACGACTCTGTCACAACAAGAGCAGGCGTCACTGGAAGGGCAAGGGAGGATTAATTTACATTTTCCATAACCTGAAATTCCTGCAAATTATTGATTTTTCTTCTTGGTTATTTCCCTCTAGATTCCTCATCTGTTTTCCAAGTCATCCAGCGGAGCCTGTCTTTATAGGAAGAGACAATTGAGCAATGGAAGAATGTTTACGTTCCTATTCGATAAATTATTGTGTAGTTATACTCAAAGATTGGAGTAGCTTCTCTATACCAGAATTTTCAACATGACTACATGACTGAAGTATATCAATAGGTAGTTAAATTAACCAAACCTACCACTTCGAGATTTCCACAATAACGCGAAGAATATGATCACTATTACCGAGACACAGACGTGGATTTGTTTCTAATGCATCATAAATTTCACCTGTACTTGTGACCCATCTAATGGCCGTTCGTGCTATCACGGGATGTGATACGTCAAAGATTCTATGACTAGGACTGTTGCATCTAAAGTTTTTGAAGCTGACACATGGTCTCTCCACGATTATGTTAGATTAGCAATTGGTACAAGAGCGTATTGTGTACGTTCATGCTAAAGCTTATAGAATTCTGCTTACAGATGGGTCGTAGAATTGCTAAATATATTCCATATCTCTAGCTGCTGAGTACGCGGTTGGCATCAGCTGTTCCTTGACTTTAAAAATTTCTAAACACCTCACTCACTTAGCAAGCCAAGTCAATTTACGTTTTTAACAATTAAATTTGTTTTGCATTACCTTTTTTCGGTGGGCAAAGTCAAATTTCTGATGGTAAATGTTTCAGCCATTTTTTAGTTTTGGAGTCGAACAGGTAATAATCGATCGCATCGAGCTCCCGCAATTTTATTAGATTTACTGAGAGAAAGTTTTCATTGTGCTTCGTGCTTGGTGTCATTTTGACTGGAGAAGTTTCAGCTCTTTCATGGTTTCAAAGTGAATTTAGAAAATATAACGAGAGAAATTTGTCCCAAATGATCTCATTTTGATGGAGCATACAGGTGAAGATTCTATTAAATAAACAGTAACGTCATCGCTCAGGAGACTTGAGAATTAGCACAGCCCAGCGTTAAAATTTGCATCATGGATAAATTGATGTGTTGTGGAAAACAACAACAATAAACAAAAAAAAAGTAGGGAAGCACAGGATTTATTGCTCTGCCGAGTGCCAACACGTTGAAGCTGACACTCTAGAAAGAGATAAGCATATGCAGAAGGAGGTTGAAGAACTTACCGAGGAGATCCAGGAAAAAAATAAATACATTAGCAGATTCCGGAGAAATTCACAGGTTTTTGAAGATGATTTGCTGAACTATGAAAAAGAACATTGTGATGAAATTAATACCTATAAGAAAGACATTTCAAGATTGAATACTGAGATTATTCAGGTGTTAGACAGAAATTCCTACATCCAAAACGATCTGCAACGGACGAGGGAAAGCCTAGAAGGGTTAAAAGTACTGAATTGCAACATGAAAGTTTCCATCGGGGTCCCGGAAAAGGAGAATGATGTACTTTCTAAGGAAACTAAGCGTCTGTGTCGATAGGCTTTTGAAAAAGAAAAATGTGATGAAATTAAGAACTACAGGGAGGACATATCAAAACTGAATGCTGAGATTGTTCAGGTATCAGAAAATAATTCCCACATTCAAAACGATTTACAGCGGACGAGGGAAGACCTGCAGGAGTTAAATATATTGAACAACAACTTGAAAGTTTCCATCGAGATCCTGGAAAAGGTGAATGGTATGATTGCTAATGAAACTAAGCGTCTGCGTCGTGAGGTTTTTGAATTGAAAAACTCTCCACATCCTATAGCCCATATATTAAATCGACTCCTCCTAGGAAAAACAAACTTATAGAAGGTAATAATTTGGCAAAGGGACTTAGGGATATTATGGATCATTGTGTAAATCGTGAGTTGTCTGTATCAGCGTTAATTGAACCGAACGCCTTTCTTGATGAGTCGGTGAGAGATATTCTTAATTATATGAGTAATTTCGATAAGAAGGATTATGTGATTGTTATGGATGGTGTGGCAAATTTATTGAAGGGACGTCCAGTTAGGGAAGAAACTATACAGACTCTTACATCAGTGGGTGAATATACTAATCTTATGGTTTGCTCCGTCTCACTTTGGAACAATAATGGATTGTTAGAGAGATTTTTTTCAGGTAATGACCAACGGTGTGTTCCTGTATTCACGTTGGTCATTACCTGAAAAAAATCTCTCTAACAATTTTTATTGCCAACGAAAGTTCAGACCAATCAGTGTAGTTCAACGCCGGTAGGGGTATTTGCCCTCGGAGTAGTTGTTTCTGACTGGTCAACGAAGTTCAATTTTGCTTGGACAGGGAGCTTCAGCCTATGTCCTTCTGATGAGTCCTAACAAGGACGAAACTCGTCAAGGATTGGCACGGGAAGTCTGGGTCCACTGCTCAGTGGGTCGATTCCCAAACAGGGACCGTTGTGTTCCTGTATTCACGTTGGTCATTACCTGAAAAAAATCTCTCTAACAATTTTTATTGCCAACGAAAGCTCAGACCAATCAGTGTAGTTCAACGCCGGTAGGGGTATTTGCCCTCAGAGTAGTTGTTTCTGACTGGTCAACGAAGTTCAATAATGGATTGTTTAATAATTTCATTAATGAACACAATAAAATTATGTTTGACAGGTTATATAGTGACAGCAAGTTCAGATTTTATTTTCATAACGAGAGCAATGGAAATTATCGATAATTTTTGGGAAATTTACCCAAATGCAATTTAGATGAAAAAGAGCACGAGTGCCTTTTTCAGTTAAAAACGCATGAGTGCAAATTTGTCGAAAATTATAAATATATTTCCATTGCACGAGTTGTATTTTATGAGAGAATTTCATAAATCAAAAATTTAAATTTTTTGTCCAAAAATTTCAAAATACCAGTTCTCGCAACAGTTACTATGCAATTATCCGATAATTTGCACTAGTGAGAATTATCGCGTAATTCCAATCTGATTGTTTGAAATCAAGAATCAAAACATGTGTATGAAATTCTCATTCAAATGCCATGATAGGAAATACTAAGGACTTTTATTTTGATGATAACTTGTACATTAAACATAGAGATAAGGTGAAAGTAGCACGGGCACTTAGTAGTAGGGTCTTGGATTTTGTTAATGGAAGTGTGCCTGTGAGGGATGTTATCGGACTGGATACAGATACTCGTGTTTTTACAAAGATTATGCACACTCTGATAAAAAATTAGACACCGTTGATATTGACTTACCTTTTTTAGTAGCAGCTCCCTTCAGAATCACTCTACCCTAGCATTGCTAAATTATCAGTCCGTGTGCGTTCAAAGGTTGATGAATTGGAGTTGTTTTTGGAATCAGTCAATTTTCCTAGTGTATTGATTTTGGTTGAGCACTGGTTGCTGTTTAATGAGCCTATTGACGTGTCTGGCTATGTGTTGATGTCTAAATGTTCAGGCAAGTAATTTGCACATGGTGGTACATTAATCATGATGGAAAGAGAGTTTTTGTCTAGGTTATGTTCATTACTGTTGATAGGTTTGATCATTATTTGTTGGTTGAAAAGGATTTCGAGTTTTCTATAGTGTTCTGCAAGGAACCAATATGTATGTTTTGAATTTGTATAGGTCTCCAGGGATAGAACTTTGTAACGGATAGAGATCGTTATCCCTATCGCTATGGCACATGTTGTCTTTTTCTCTCTTGACGAAACCAATAGAGAGGGGACGTCAATAGAGATAGAGAAAAGATCTCTATTCGTTACAGAGTACCAGCCCAGGTCTCCATCATCTGGTGATTGGGAGTTGTCTTTGGAGAGGTTGGACATTTTGTTGACCGACATTTCGGTTAATTCCATGTTGATTTTGAATGGCGATCTTAACGAGAATTTCTTGGACAAGTGTAATAGATCTAATAAGTTACTGTGTAATTTGTAGAACTCGTTAGTGGCGGATTTACCCATACGCTAACTACGCTGCAGCGTAGGGCCCCGGGCAGCCAGGGGCCCCGCAGGGGCCCTCCCTACATTTCAGGAATATTATATATAAGGGAATTTGCCGATATTAAAATTAGAAAGAAAAAATGCTTTTGTGGTTTTTAGTTGTTTCCTATATGTTCATATTTTATACTTATTTATTTATCTCAAGCATACACTACAGAATATTATATTTTAAATGGTAGTTCCTCAAAATAATCAAAATTAAAAAACAAAATAAAATACTGCACAAAAATAAAAACATAGATATGCAGATAAAATACAGAAGCAATCTCAGTGAAAGTCAAGCCGCATAAAAATTCTGATAAAAACAGATAGACAAAGTTATATAAAACGAGAAATGAATAGGAGTCATAGTTAAAATTACATAAACATTATCATCTTCCTGATTTGTGGCAGGGGGTAGTTAAAAATATCACAGTTGCAGTAAAAACGGTTGTAGTTAACCACCAATCTGTCGATGAAAGCAGTTTGGCCATAGTCGGTACGATGTTGTCCTTCATAAAACAGTTTATGTTGTCTGGTGCGTCTTAAGGGAACTTTTAAATGTAGTAAGCCTAGCAAAGTGTCACAGTCGATTATCTCATTGCTCAACTTGTAAAGTAAAATACAGTCTAGCAAAAAAGCATCAGCCTAGTTTCATAGGTTAGTCCGTCTGGAGGAAAATGGTGTCTATATAGAAGGTACTTTATGAACTTATTTTGAACCCTTTCTAGTCTGCTTTTGTGGATAGTGTATTTGGGGGTCCAAATAGTTGAGCAGTATTCTAGTGTGCTACGGACAAGTGAGTAATACAGACACCATACTGCTTTGGTACCCATTATATATTTGGAATTCCTTTTTATAAAACCCAGCATTCTAAGGTCCTTTTTTCCACTGTACCTGGAATGGCACCGACCGTTGTCGGATATGGCATTTGTATGACATTTGTCATCTCTCTTAGTGCGTCCAAAAATAGCTATATAGTGGGGGATACCTTTCTCTCTCTATTTTATTGCTGTTAGGTTTGATGTATATTCCTAACCTCAAATATAATATTTTTTAGACAAGGAAAGATTTTCATAACTGGCCCAAAAATATGCGCTTCCTTCATTACATCAGAAAGTTCTCTATGAACAATCCAATATTTTAAAACTATTTTGATAGGTACCGAAAGGTTAATAGAAGATCCATCAGGCTTGCTAAGTGGACTTACTTTCCGAATAGGATAAATAATTCTTCTGATAATAGATCAAGGGAAACTTGGAAAATTGTAAATGACCTGAGGGGTAGGAATAATGTTTCGGTCACTTCAAGCAATCTGAATCCTGATGACCTAAATTCCTTTTATTGCAATATTGCCACTGAACTCTCAGCCAAAACTTCAACAGGGAATGATCCCAGGAGCAATCTGTAACGTGTAACAGTAGCTAAATCTTTCTTTCTAGCTCCATGCAGAAGAGCTTATATGTATACTTGGTAATATCAGGAATAAGGGTGCGTTGGGTTGGGATTGGCTCTCATTGAAGGTTTTTTTGGCTTTACCCTTGGTTGCTTTGCAGGTTCTTGCTGAGACATTAATAAATCTACTAATATATAGAGTTTAGCATGAAGAAAAATGTGGAAATATGGGCTCCGGAAGACCTAATGTGGTTGTCGACGAATTGGCCAAAGACGAAATGAGAAAAAAAGTACGCACATGCGTTTTATTTCAATAAGGAAATCCCAAACTTGGATAAAGTTCTAGCAGACATTAAAAGTGATGAAAATGTTCCTGAAATTGGAATAGATCAGTTGTGGAAAATTCTACGGGAAATGAACTGCAAATGGGAAATAGTACATTAAACACCTAGGGACTTAAGTGGTACTTTTAATCCCGAGACAAAAAGTTTATTTAGTAAAAAACACTTTAGTCCTGAGGTGTATACCTACACTATTTTATGCACTTTACTTTATTCCCGGGGATTAAATAAACCAGAGAATAAAAGGGGAACTTTCAATCCCTCTTTCATTTAATCACCACGAAATAAAGTAAAAATTTAATCCCCGGGAAATGAAGTGAAATTTAATCCCGGGGATTAAAAGATCCACTTAACTCCCTAAAACAGGGATTAAAAGGGTACTTTTAATCCCTAAAGTGCATAAAATGAAATAGGAACTTACTGCTGATTGAGAGGACTGAAATTGTTGGTTGGAAGAGGAAATTGTTAAGAAAATTCCGGAGTGAAAATAGAAAGATATATTATCTAGACGGAACCTGGTTGAATGGAGGCTATACAGTTGGAAAATCTGTGCAAGATAAAAATATAACTTGATCGCGTTAAGCTTTTATTATAGAAGCTTTGTCTACTGGCCCAAAATCATCTTCAGGAACAGGAAGAAGGCTCATCATTACAGATTGGCAGTAGTGACGGCTTTGTTAAAGGTTTATTAAAATTCCAGTCTAAACGTCGACTTATGTTAATGATTGCATTGGGACATTTCTGTGTAGATTCAGTGAATCTTCCACTTCCTGTTTAATGTAAATTATAGTTCTTAACGATTCAATCCAGGATCCAGGACCTATGTTCTGTTCTAAATTTGGTAAGTTTTAGAAAGTTCTTTTAGAATTGGTAGGTACTTTTTTCCACCTTATGGAACAATTCTTTGATAAAAATATTCGAACTAACGAGTTAATATTTCCAATAAATTACCTAATATTAAACTGACGAAAGTCATCAATGCAATTTCAATTACATAATTTATTTAAACTTGAGGTGAAAAATTCTTGAGCTAACCACGTATCATCAGTGACGACTAAAGGCCTGATTGGTCTATGCCCATACTATTCCACTCACATAGATGGGATGGAGTGTGCTTTTTTTACAGGATTGGTTGTTGATAGTATGAGACCATATCTAGTTAATGCAAATGTTCCATACCTTATTTTTCGATTACCAATTTTGGCTAGTCTCTCTTTACAACTCGCAGAAGTAATAATTTCACTGAAATACATAATAAAGGGCCATTTACGTCTGATAAATCGATACAGCATTGGCTGCAAAGTTTATGCAGCGCCTCACCCAACAAACCGAGAAAGAAACAATTACAGAAAATGCATGTTTTTCAAATGGTATAAAATATATTACAATTCATATCTCGAGTGTATTTACCGGATCTGTAGAGTAAACATCTCTATTTACGTGTTTTTCTAGAAGCTGGAAACTGACATGTATATATACATAGTACATATAATAGTTGATGTGTTTGCGATTTTAAAAGTGCAATTCTAACGGAAGCTGGCATTGCTGATATCAACTTATACCCATAAAACAAAGGTTGAGTTGTTTGTACCATGTCTCTGTCCATTCTATGAAGGTAATTGCACAATAATTCTGTCCAATTCCCACGTCTTGACAGAGCATATAAAATAGACGAAATTATAGAGCGGGGCGTAAAGGTAAATTTTTGCAACAATTTAAATCATCATATTTCTCCGCGTTGGAGCTACGGTTGGAGAGAGCGTATGGCGTAGCACCACCATAGCCCATATCGGCGCACCGGAATCTTTTAATCCATTTAACAAGGCCATAAATTCCGGAAAATTATGGGCACCGCTTCCGCCCGCCATTATTCTTGTCAATTTATTTAAAATTTTTAAAACCATTTGAACGACCAAACCTGAACTGAACGAATTAGGAATGGAATACGCCGTTTTGTACTTTGCTATTTTATGGTTGAACCAAATCTTTAAATTTTCCTAGAAAACGGAATTTGAATAGAAGGTACATACATGCATTCTCAGAAATTAGAGGTATAATAAAAACCAGCTTTTCCAACACTTATAGTTTAATTAACGTTTTTACTCTATTAAACTTACATCTAATTTAATTCTGCTCCGCTACGACCCCAATAAAGATCTTTATGTTTCTTTCTAATACCAATTACATCAATTTGATTACCTAAACCATATCCAAGACAATAAATGTCCATTGTTTGTCCAATACGACCTACAAAAGGTAAACTTTTAGTTGTAAAACCGACTTTTATTGAAAAGTTGTGTTCTCTTGCACGTTCTAGATTAATTTACTTTTTCAAACGACATTTAGCGCAGTAAACGAAAGCAAAGAACAGCTAATTAGATTTTTAGGTAATATTACCATTTTCAAAAGGATTGATGCAGTCAGCGGAGTAGGTACAAAAATGAACTTTCAACTTAGTTTCGTAAACACCGTATACACTAAAGAACTTTTATTTGCTTAGTTTTCCGAAGTGACGACGAACTAGTAATTAGCAGTTAGCCAGCTCCGAGTAATTTTATACAAGCAGCTTTTGTGCTGGCAGTTTTCTGGTCTGGAGAAAGTCTATTGTCAAAGTGTAATGGGACCGAACGTAATTGCAATTGGTTAGTGGAAAGGTTAATGTTTCCAATTTTGAGATAAGTAAAATAGTTTTTCTTTAATGATTTTCAGTTTTTTGGGTGTTGGGTACCATAACAAGATAGAAAACTATGTTGTGGAGTTTCCACAACTTTGAAACTTGAGGTTTGCGAAGAAGGTTCTGGGTCGTATCCGGCGTAAACAAGAAAAAAAACAAGTTAAATCCTTAGATCACTACTAGAATTTATTACTTAATTGGTTGAGAAAATTAATATACTGAAGCCACTGTGCGTATATTGTGTGACGTGAGTAGCAGAGATTAATACATGGTTATGTGGAAATTAACATTACTACTACTGCTGCTTGCTTAGCGACAAACAGTTTTGTTGCCAACCTAATCACGTGACAAAATGATGGTTTAAAATTATAAAGTAACCTACTTTTAGGTGGCAACCACGGTTTGCTGCTTCAGCATTTAGCATTTACTAGAAAATAGAATATAATAAGTTGCATAAAATGTATTACAATGTTTTATGTTTAAATATAATTATGACTTAAAATGAAGGCTTAAACTAAGTAAAGGACAATCAACGATAATTGATATTGACTTTACAACATCCGTCCCTCCTAAGAATGAAATTTGTAACTGGGGTTACGAATTTCACCAAGATTGGAATTACAAACTTTGGAATTACTATCAGCTATTTCGTTAAACTGGACGTCAGCGGTTTTGTCTATTATTGATTTCATTTTTAATGTCAAGATTTTGAAAATAATTTGTGTTTATGAATGACTCATTTGCTTCTTGGGTATCAATTGGCTTTAGCGTGACAGAACTTGTAAAAGCGATACAGTGCGGTGCAAGTTCTAAAATGCCTGAATTGTTTAAACGAATAGAGTCTTCAAAATTTTGACACTTTATTGTGAGAGTTTCATCGTTTGGACTAACAAAAATCCAAGAATTTATTTTCAGAATTTTGATAAAAATTGTTTTATGAATGGCACTAACTCGTTTTTCACAAGACTCAGGAATTTTCTGAGGATGAGTGTACAACAGTGCCTCACAATCATTATGTATTGGTAAAAGGAATAAGGGATATTTTTCTTTACAAAACGTACTTATTATCTATTCTTGAACAATCTTTCAAATCATTGTTATCAAGAAAAAAATAGTTTGGCTTAAGACTATCTATTACTAAGTAATGGTGTTCTGATGAAATAAATGAGAATACATATATGAGAATGTTTATCATTATTCACTTTTATAGGTAAACTTGTCATCTTAACGATATTGTACGAAATATCACTTACAAGGGGTATGTATAAAATAAAGTACAATTTATAATTTGAGTAAAACACATTTGGATGCATTGTTTTATACAGGTCATGAGAATAATGATGATAAAGAGGTACAGGAAATGATAACCCTTTTGGTAAATACATGCTTTGCTTAACTAAATGGTTTATGAGCCTTTTTGGACTTAGGACTAAAGGATGTAAAATACCATTTTGAGCATACAAAATTATGTTTAATAGATCACTTTGGTAAAACTGGAACTGTTCGAAGACCAGTTCGAATAGAGAAAAATACTCAGAGAACTGTAATGCGAAATTTTCATATGAAGCGATATTATCAATAACACCTTTTATGTGATTATTGATGATGAAAGTTTCAATTTGATTGACTTTTCCGTTTAAATTTTCAAAAATTTGTTTATTTGCTTGATTTGATGAGTTGAGAGATAGAATGGTATTTTCAAAAATACTTGTTTGTTCTGACAGTAAGTGTTGCATATTTATCTGATTTGTTTCCAGTTTTTGGAGAATTTCGTTGAAATGTTTAAGCATCATTTTCATCTAAGGTTCCAAACAAAACCTTTGCAACATTGCCTACGGCATTGGCTAAACCTCGTTTGTTTCGATTTAAAAATTGCTGGCTATTTAGAATTTCTCCAATTATACTGTTATTATTTTGAACACGGTGAAGAACACGACTTATCCGATTAAATAGGCTCTTTGCCATAATGCAAGGTTTTAAATATTCCTTTTGAGAATCTCTCAAATCGCAAAGTTCTACCATTTTTTTATAACTAAAAATAAAATTATCGTAGAGGTCATAATAATTTTCTAAATCTATAGAATTAATCAACTTCCATGAACTAGTTTCTAAATGAACTGTATCAAAAGATTCATACAGGATACCAGCACTTCTGTTGACTGCCTGCAAGGTGAAAAATTTCGTTTTTGGATCGCCCAGTATGCATGCAAATGAAATGGAAAGAATTGCTAGTAAGGCTTTCATCTGAAACAAGAATAAAATGACTACCTTGAGTTATATAATTTTAATCGGTTATTATGAACCTTTTGATGTTTATTTTTGACTAAAATTGTTGAATTTATTTCTGAATTTGCTTTAATTACTTTATAGGGGCCATTCCAAATTGGTTCTAGTTTTTTACATTTCCCTTTTGCGTTTGATTGGTTTTTAAGTAATACCATCTCACCCTCCTTAAAAGTGACTGGATTAATAGTTTGGTCATAAGTGGTTTTTGATTTTTCTTTAGAATTGATCAGATTTTGTTTAGCCAATTCATAACTATGTTGCAAGCGACTTTTTAGCTCGTTCGCATAATCGTCATAGTTGTAGTTTAATTCAGGAGGCTTTTGTAAAGAATTAGGAATTTCCGCAGGGAACCCATAAAGAAGTTCAAAAGGAGTAAAGTTTGTGGCGGAATGAATGGAAGTATTATAAGTAAAAATTGCATAAGGGATCCATGTATCCCAATCTAATTGATCCTTTGTGACGAAATTTCGTAAATATTCGCCTAGACTTTTATGTGACCTTTCAAGACTGCCATTGCTTTGAGGTCTGAAAGCGGTCGTTTGAATTTTTGTAATTTTTAATAATTTACAGATATTTTTAAATAATTCGCTTAAAAAGTTTTGACCTTGATCCGTTAAAAGATAAGTTGGAGTACCGTGTCTACAAATGATGTGTGAAACGAATTTTTCTGCAATGGTTTCGGCTTCTTGATTTTCAAGAGGTACAGCTTCACAAAATTTTGTTAGTTCATCTTGAAATGTTAGAATATATTTGTTTCGGGAATTTGTTACGGAAAGAGGTCCCACGATATCAAGGCTTACCTTTTCAAAAGGTTTGGAGGCTGTAGAAGTGACAGTTAATGGCACCTTTGTGTATTTTGATGATTTATTCCTTTGGCATAAATCGCAAGATTTTACAAAATTTTTAACACTTTTATATTGATTGGACCATTTATACTTACTTCTTATTCTATTAAAGGTCTTATTGACACCTAAATGACCTCCCAGTGGAGAATTATGGAATTCTTTTAGGATTTTACGAATTTCATCCTTAGATTTAATTTTCATTAGATTATTATGATGAATTTCTACCAAATCTGAATTACCACGAAATATATATCTGAACATAATGCGAATGTTTTCGATTTGTAAACTTTTATACGGAGAATATTTCGTAGGATTAGAAAAGGCTATTTTATGGTAATTACCTGTATGTGCAAAAGATTTCAAACATTTAATTGCTTCGAAAATTATTTCATTCGTTACAATAGTATTAGGTTCATGCGTTGGAATAAAAACATAATTAATGTTATTTATTGTAATAAGAATCGGCGTTAAAACGATTAAGGTGTCCGATTGCAACTTGCATTTTGCTTCGTCGTTAAGGTCATCGGGAAGTTGCGAATTGTCTTTACTTATGAAATAGGCACGCAAATATTCAGGGTTAGAATCAGAAATATTTTTGTGTGAATCTTTTATATTATTATTAATGATTATGGAGGACTCCTTTTCTATGAGAAAGTTTTCAAAGGTTAATTGATTAAGACGTAATTTTTGTTTCGTGTGCTTACTGGATTCACGTCATATACGATTCGACTTAATGCATCGGCATTTGTATTATATTTGCCGGGCTTATGGATTATTTCGTACTCGTATTCTTCTAGTTTATGACGAAATTTCATTAACCTACTTCCTGGGTCTTTCACGGAAAATAACCATATTAAAGGTTTGTGATCGGAGACAATCAAAAATTTACGGCCATATAGATAGACTCTGTAATGCTTGACTCCCCAGGTTATGGCTAATAGTTCTTTTTCAATGACACTATAGTTTCGCTCTGCTTTATTCAATGTCCGGGATGCGAAAGCAATGGGACGGTCTGAGCCAACTGTCCCTTGTGAAAGTACTGCTCCTACAGAAAAATTGCTTGCATCACAAGTGAGAATAAATTCCTTCGAAAAATCGGGGTACTGCAGGACAGGAGGATTACACAGTTTTTCCTTGAGAGTTTCGAAAGATTCTACACAAAGAGGAGACCAATGGAAAGAAATGTTTTTCTTGAGCAAATTATTCATGGGTTGGGCAATTTTTGGAAAGTTTTGTATGTGTCTTCTATAGTAACCAGCTAACCCCATGAACTGTTTGATTTCAGTTGGAGATTTCGGAGTAGGAAATTCTTTAATGGCCTTAATTTTATTTTCATCCGGTTTGATACCATCGGCAGTTATTGTATGACCCAAATAGGTAAGCTCAGGGCGAAGAAATTCGCATTTTTCTGGCTGCAATTGAAGGTTATGAAGACGAAACCTATTGAAAACATCCTTGAGTTTGGAGTTGTGATCCTCGAGAGTTTTACCATATATAATTACATCATCAAGGTACACAAAACACTTAATTCCTTGAAATCCTAGCAAGACACTGTTCATTAATTTTGTAAATGTAAAGGGGGCTCCTTTTAGACCAAAGGGCATACGATTGAACTCGTAATGATTATTAGACGTACTAAAAGCAGTTTTGTGTTTGTCTTTTGGGTCGGTACGGACCTGATGATAACCAGAAGCAAGCGAGTGTAGAGAAAAATTTAGAGTTTCCAAGCTGATCCAAAATTTCTGTTATATTGGGCAACGGAAAAACTTCAGAAAGGGTTTTGTCGTTAAGTTTACGAAAATCTACGACTACGCGCCATTTACGATTACCATGAATATCAGGTGTCTTGGGTACAACCAATAAAGGAGAATTATAAGCAGACGAGGATTCAGAAATTATATCATCTTTGAGCATTTTGTCAATTTGACGTTTGACTTCTTCCTGTTGGTGATACGGCAGACGATAGGGTCTAACATTGATAGGAATATCATCTGTTGTAGGAATAGAATGCGTAATTGTTTCAGTACAAGATAAAACGTCGGCATCAAGAAAGAAAATTTCATGGAACGATTTACAAATTTCAAGAATACTTTCACGCTCGTCGCTAGACATATGAGACGTCCGAATCGAATTGGTAAGCAGATTAAGACAATCGAGATTGCAAGGAGTTTTATTTCTTGAAAGAAAATCGTAAAATTCAAGATTTTCAAAACTCAATTGAGGATTTTCGAGTGTGACAGATTTTTCATTAGTATTTAAAAATGTGATAAAACAATAACCATGAACTGGTTTAATAATAGAGTTACCCACATAAACACCTTCGCGTATTTCTGCTGATAGGCATAAAGATTCATGAACATGAGAAGTTTTAACCTTTTGTATGACTTCGCTTCTAGCAGGAATATTAATAATCGTTTTATTTTTTGATGTGTCAAATGGTAAAGGAATTATTTTATTTTCATAAGAAAGAGATAAAGTATTATTGTTGTAATCGATATTAGCCTTGTATTTTATAAGAAAATCCTTTCCAAGTATGCCATCTTGCGGTATAGGAAAATTATCTTTTACTAAATGTACAGGGTGAGTAATATTGACTCCTCCAATTTTAAACTCCCCATAACAGATTCCGTAAGTAGCAATTAAAGAATCGGAAATGCCTTATAGTCGGTATAGCATATGGCGTTTCCTTTAATGCAAGATTTTTTTAAAATTGTAATTTGAGAACCAGTATCAATTAAAAGATTAACTTCGTCATTGTTAGCTAAAGAAAAGGGCATATGAATGCTATCTGCTTCTTCAATGACGCAAGGAGTTACACAAAGGATATTGGTTTCAGGAATGGTTGCTTCATTTAAATAAGGATTGCTTGTAGTATAAGAATTATTAGGAATAGGATTTTTACTTGTATAGGATTCTGGAACAAGAGGACAAGTAATTTTTTTAGGACTACAAGATTGAGGATTTTGCAACACATTATGTATTTTGACAGAACTTTCTGAAAGATTGAATGATTTTATAGGACGGCAATTTATAATTGGGTCACCGTCGTTGCGCCGCCGCTGCGCGCAACTGGTGCTTGGAAGTTTCCCTGGCTGTAATTATTAGGATTTGCAGAATTTCTAGCGTTTCAATTAGGATTGTTTTTAAATTCATCGGCTCTTTTTTTCTTGAAACAATCTTTGATATGATGACCATGTTTTTTGCAATATGCACAAGTTATATTGGTAACATGAACCTCGGTTTTAATTTCTCGCTTCGGAAATGTAGGAAGCTGTTGAGAAGAAGAGGAACGATTCTTAATAAAGCACTCGTTTTCGACATGTCCATTTTTTTTACAGTAATTACATTTTTTGAATGGTTTATTTTTGTTTTTGTGCTGATTAAAGTTTTCGTTAAAATTTCGCTCTTCTTCGACTGCTGCTTCAATAGCGTCACTCAATTTAGTGAATCTGGAAGCTTTGATTATTAATTTTAAAGATTGATTTAGGCCTTCGACAAAAGATTTAAATGCGGTTTTTGAATTTAAGTTATTGTTTGTTGCTGATGCTGCAACGCCTTCAGAAGCTATACAAGCATCATTAAGATCATTTAAAAGCTGTTCTATTCTATTAACAAACGCCCTAACTGATTCACCAGGTTGTTGTTTAGCTCTAATCAATTCAGACTGTAGTTGAGCAATACTTCTAGTCTCTAAAAACTGTTCTTGAAGAGTAATTTTAAGTTCATCCCAGTCTGCAAGGATTTTATGCTTGACAACATTATAGGCAGGACCAGATAATTTAGATTTAATGATGCTAACCAATAATTGTTTATCTGCGACTTGAGTCAAATCCGCATTTACATATCACAACATGAGGCAAATTTGTGAAAATCTTTTCTATCTCCGCTAAAATCGAGAATTAATTTTAAAGCAAAATCAACGTTTAATTTAGGCATGTTTTCGACAATTCCAGTTTCATCAACTATTAAAACAGATAAATCGTTTTCGTATAGCAAGTTATCAGGCTCACTAGAATCGTCAGAGTGATTTTCGTAATTTCTTTTGTCAGACATTAAGAGTTATAAGCATTTTGTAAGGCAAAAAATAAAATAAAATAACAGGGTAAATATACAGAATAAAAAAAAATGAATATACAGATACAGTTAACTTACAGTAAAATTCTAGTCTCGAAAAATCGGTAAAAAGTCCAAAAGAATCCCACGGTGAGCGGAATTCGGGAACCAAAATTCAAGAGTACCGGACTCTGGAGTAGCTTCAACTATCCGCGCAGTACAAAGTTACCTTCTGTTTTCTTGGCTAAAGAATGGACCGTTTTCTTGACTGATGACTGGATCGTTTTCTTGGCTGATGACTAAAAAAAAATTTTTACTAAACAATTCTTTTCTTGTTACTATTGCCGAATAGCTTGAACCAAACTGAACTGCACTTCTTCTCGAGTAACCATCGATTAACCTTCACACCTGACACCAAATTATGTTGTGGAGTTTCCACAACTTTGAAACTTGAGGTTTGCGAAGAAGGTTCTGGGTCGTATCCGGCGTAAACAAGAAAAAAAACAAGTTAAATCCTTAGATCACTACTAGAATTTATTACTTAATTGGTTGAGAAAATTAATAGGTATACTGAAGCCACTGTGCGTATATTGTGTGACGTGAGTAGCAGAGATTAATACATGGTTATGTGGAAATTAACATTACTACTACTGCTGCTTGCTTAGCGACAAACAGTTTTGTTGCCAACCTAATCACGTGACAAAATAATGGTTTAAAATTATAAAGTAACCTACTTTTAGGTGGCAACCACGGTTTGCAGCTTCAGCATTTAGCATTTACTAGAAAATAGAATATAATAAGTTGCATAAAATGTATTATAATGTTTTATGTTTAAATATAATTATGACTTAAAATGAAGGCTTAAACTAAGTAAAGGACAATCAACGATAATTGATATTGACTTTACAACAACTACATTTTATTGTTTCCTTCGCTATATCTTTGGAGCCCTAGTATTTGCCACTTCAACTTCTAATTAAATTATATTTTGAGAAAAAGGATGGGGAGGAATTGTAATTAATGACAAGGGTGAAAAGTTAGGATAAGATCAAGATTGTCCTAGTCTTGAAAAATAATACCTGTATAGAATATTCTGAAATTGAACAGGCAACTATCATTGTGAACAAATACTGATAGAGAAAGTTTGCCCTGAGGAACTTTAACGAATAAATTATGTTATTTTTATAAATCTAGAAAAAAAGGGTTGAAATCAAGAAACAAAAAAGGAGAAAGGGGAACTCACAAATATTCTCGATTTAAAACATAGTCCTACTGTCTACTTCGGGACACCTAGTGAGTGTGTCCCGAAGATAGCAGGGTGGACGGACTTTAGGACCACGCTGTATATACTTACGTAAGACTTATGATAGCTTCTTTTAGTCAAAAATATTTTTCTTACCTTACAACTATCACACTCGACCATTGCTCCCGTCCAATTTAATATTTTAATGCAAGAAAAACTTGAAGTCTATTTCATAATTAGTTTCACATGAAGTTGATATAGTCGCTTTCAGTTCTTCGAACTCAATTTCCACTAATTTCGCCATATTCCGTTTCTCAGGCGGGGATTTTAATTCGGCGAATCCTCGAG